GGCGGGGGGTCGGGCGGCCGGGCGGGGCCATTACCTGGGCGCTGCGGAGCCGCCTCCCGCAGCCGGGCGTCCTCCGGCCGCTGGCGCCCGCCGCCCGGTCCCCCGAACCGGCCCGCCACCGCCCCGCCCCGCCCAGCGGCTCGGCCAATGAGCGCAGAGCGCTGGGTATGAGCGACGGGTGTCCCAACCAATCAGACATGGCCGTCTCCAAGATGAGCCCGCCCCCTCTTCCCTCCGCTTGGCGCCCGTGGCACCGCCCCGTCGGCGGAGGGCGGTGCAGGGGCGGGACGAGAATATGAATGACAGCAGATATGACCAATAGAATGGAGGCACGGCGCGCCTTTCCACCAATAGCCAGGCGGGAGGGGTGGTGCCACCGGATTTTTCAATGGGGGTGGGCGTGGCCTGCGGCACCCAATGGGAGGGCGCGGTCGGGAATTCAAACTGACAGGTGGGAGCGTGGCTGTTGGCGCCGGAGCGGGACCGGGACCGGGACCGGACAGGATCGGGACAGGGACAGAGCCGGGACTCACTAGGACAGGACCGGGACCGGGACCGGGACCGGACAGGGACAGGATCGGGACAGGGACAGAACCGGGACTCACTAGGACAGGACCGGCACCGGGACGGGAGCGGAGCGGGCTCAGCCATGTCGTCCAGCGGCGGCCCGTTCGAGGAGCGCTCCGTGAGCGTGCTGTGCTGCCGGTTCTGCCGGCAGGTGCTGAGCTGGCGGGGCATGCGGGCGGTGCTGCTGGCCGACACCGACACCGACCTCTACTCCACCGACATCCCGCCCTCGGGGTAAGCGCCGGGAGCGGGGAAGGGCGGGTCCCACCGGGGCACGGGGCGCTGCCAGCCCGGGGACACGGATCCCGCTGAGCCCTGCAGAGCAGGGGTCACCCCATCCCTGCATCCCCAGCCCCGGGAATCCACGGCAGGGCACAAAAAACGAGGATGTGCAGGGCAAACCCAAACTCCAATTTTTTTTTTTAGGGGTGACACGGGCTCAGCAGGCACGGGAAGCTCCTCCCGCTCGTTCCCGAAGGGAGGATTAGAATTTGAAATAAAGGCCAGCAAACAGAACAAACCTGATCTGTCACTGCTGCCAGCACTCTCCCCCGGTTCGGCTCTGCTGCTTTCCCATAGCCAGATTTGAATAGTAAGGAAATCAGGTTGTGAAATGACATGGTAATCAGAAAGTATGGGTTGGAGAGGAGATAAGGAATCACAGGTTTGGGTTTAAACATCCCAGAGGTATTGTTCTGTTTCTGAGCTGGGATTTGGCAGCAATGTCCCAAATCAGGGCTCTGAGTGACAGTGCCACACTGAGCCCGAGAGCCCCTGAGCACAGAGCAAACTCTGCTTTTCTGGGCTATTTTAAGAAGATTTTTGATACTCATGCAATGTCACATGGGTCTCTTGTTAAAGTTTCCATATGAGTGGGGCTGAGAGTCAAAAGGAAAGTAGAACCTTGTGGTTTAAACCACACAGGGCCAATGGCAGCATCATTTTGTGGTGACTTCAGCCCGGTGTTATTGTGACCCTGAGGTTGTGATCGCCACAGCTCCACACCTGTGTCCCTTTCCTTCCTGCAGAACCGTGGATTTCATCGGGAGCTGCTACTTCACTGAGATCTGCAAGTGCAAACTGAAGAACATCGCCTGCTTGAAGTGGTGAGCTCACAGCTGGTGTCCCTGCCGTGTCCCAGCCCCGTGTCCCCTCCTCGCTGTCACCTCCTGCAGCACAGGAGCTGTGGCTGGAGGAACAGCTTGCCTTCCCTGGAGCAAATTTAATGCTGCTGGGGAGAAACTCGGCCTGAGTAAGGGTATTTCTGTGAGTCCCCAGTGGAAATGTGACAGTATTTTCAGGAGGCTGAGTCTCCTGAAAGCTTGTGTGCCACCTGCCCAATGAAATGTGTGCCTCAACAGTGAGATTTCTCTGTGAATAAGGCCCCAGCAAGAAGCAGTTACTCATACTCTAATTAATAGAACATCCTCTTGGCAGATTGGGTTGTTGGGAGCAGATGGAACATGCTGTCGCTAAAGTTCTTGGAGTTCTTTTATCCTCCTTATTAATGCCTGATATTTAAGGGTGAAAACAACAACTCTCAAATAGCTCACAGTTATCTGAGAGAATTCTTTCAGCTCCCTGATCAAGACTTTTACCTTTCTCAGACTGGAACAACTGAGGGTGGGGGGGTGGGTTGTGATAGGGACACAATATTTTGGTTTATAGATAGAAATAGAGAAACAGAAATATCTCATTGGAGCACATAAAAATGGATAAATGGTTGTTATGGTTTCAGTCTAGGAGAGTTGATAAAGGTCAGTAATCTGGCTCAGAGAAGCTGTGGCTGCCCCATCCCCATCCTGAAGTGTCCAAGGCCAGGTTGGAGCACCCTGGGACAGTGGAAGATGTCCCTGCTCATGGCAGGGGTGGAACTCAATGAGATTTAAGGTCCTTTCCATCCCAAATCATTCCATAATTCTCAGTTGCATCATTCCTGCTGCTGGTAGCCTCCTGTGCAGGGTGCTTGTGTACAGGTGAGTTTTGGGTGTGAGGAACTTCTCTGCTGGTTGGAATCACTGCCCTTCCTAAGGAAAACAAATAAAGAAATCCACCAGCATTTGTTGGTATGTAAACTAATCTGGGTTACACAATTTAGGTTACTAAACGCTTCTCTGTGTGCCAAAGATCTAAAACCCAGATATTCTGTAACTCCCAACAGATGTTCCCTAAATATTTAAGATACTTGTTTCGCCCCGTTCCCTTAACTCTATCAAAACACCAGCATTACATAATGCTCTGCCACTGGGGCTCTTTAACTGGAGCTGCAAAAAGCCACCCAGATCCACCTTTTCCCCAGGCTCACTCTTTCCCTTGCCTTTCCAGTGGGAATGTCGTTGGCTACCACGTGATCTGTCCCTGCAAGCCCTGCCTGCTGTCCTGCAACAACGGCCACCTCTGGATGTTCCACAGCCAGGCAGTGTTTGGCATCAACAGGCTGGACCCTTCTGGTGAGGGACACCTTGGTTTCCTTCCCTTTCCCTAAAATCCTCATCTCCCATCACAGAATGACCAGGCTGGGAGAGACCTCAAAGATCACTGAGTCCAGCCCAGCTCCAACACCCCAGCTGATCCCTGGCCCCCAGTGCCACATCCAGGCTTGGTTAAACACACCAGGGATGGTGACTGCACCACCGCCCCGGGCAGCCATTCCAGAACTTTATCACCTTTCTGTGAAAAACTTTTTCCTAATACCCAACCTGAATTTCCCTTGGTGCAGCTGGAGGCTGTGTGCTCTGGCTCTGTCAGTGCCTGCAGAAAGAGCCCAGCCCAGCTGAGCACAGGCACCTTTCAGGAGCTGTGCAGAGTGAGGAGGGCACCCCTGAGTCTCCTTTTCTCCAGGGGAGCACCCCCAGCTCCCTCAGGGTTTCCTCACAGGGTTTGTGTTCCACACCCATCACCAGCCTCGATGCCTCCTCTGGACGAGGAGGAGGAGGATGATTTCCTTCCTGTCAAACCATAGAGGTGATGAACACACCTTCCCTTCCTCAAACCAGGGAGGTGATGAGGCCACCTTCCCTTCTCTTCCATCCAAACCAGGGATGAACACCTCTTCCCTTCCTCTCAAACCAGGAGGGTGGTGAGCATACCTTCTCTTTCCCTTTCTCTGCAAGCCATGGAGGTGATGAGCACCCCTTCCCTTCCCGCACCCCCAGCTCCCTCAGGGGTTCCTCACAGGGTTTGTGTTCCAAACCCATCACCAGCCTCGTTGCCTCCTCTGGACGAGGAAGAGGAGGATGATTTCCTTCCTCTCAAACCATAGAGGTGATGAACACACCTTCCCTTCCTCAAACCAGGGAGGTGATGAGGCCACCTTCCCTTCTCTTCCATCCAAACCAGGGATGAACACCTCTTCCCTTCCTCTCAAACCAGGAGGGTGGTGAGCATACCTTCTCTTTCCCTTTCTCTGCAAGCCATGGAGGTGATGAGCACCCCTTCCCTTCCCTCCAGGGAGGTGATGAGCAGCCCTTCCTCACCCAAACCATCCCAGTTTAGCCCCAGCAGATGGAGCAGGCTGGCATGTGGAGGAAGTGTTGCTAATCTAGAAAAGCACTCGTTGGGGGGAGGCAGCTGTGGATGGAAATTTCGGTGTAAATCGCTCTGCACCTCCCTCTCTGCGGGCACCAGTCAGGGTTTTCTGCAGCAAGGCCACCACCAGGATAAAAACAGGGCTATTTATAGTGGTGGGGATGGCTTTACTGGGGGATTTTTGGAGGAGTTTTGAATGAGTTAGAGGTGGAACTTTTGAGTTTTTTAGATGATGAGATTTATTTTGCTTTTTTTTTTTACATAGAAAGGGTGAGTTTGGCTTCCATCTTTACTGCATGGTTCAGAAGGTTAAAAGATCCTTAATTACAAGGCTTTTTAAAGAGTGATTAATAAAACACTGCTAACAAAAATATTTATGTTTTTAACTTAATTTTTAAATATTTTGTCTTATAGACTTATGCTACAGTGTAAGTTTTCTTAGCTAATCATGTTATAGCACAAACTTACAGTTCTGCGTTCTCAACTTCTTGTTTACCTTTTTTTTTACTTTTATTTTTTTCTGTCTTAAATCTATTTTTTCTCTTGTATCTTAAAATCTAAAACTTTAAAATTTCTTCTTCTTAACATGTTAATATAAATAATATTTCTGTTATATTATATTTATGTAATTGGTTGTATAAATATTTACCCTCTGAATTGGGCTGAAAAAAAAATAAACAGTAACACTCCCAAGATCACTTTGAAGGAAGATAGAAAATAGATTTATTCACCCTGAACGTGACTTCCTGGGTTTTGCAGGGATTATTTTCTCTCAAAATCGACAGTTGTGCAACTTCAAAATAAAGTCACGATCCAAAAATATCTTTTTTCCCCTCCTCCTTTGTCTCCTTCCCACCAGGTGTGAATGTGTTGCAGTGGGGCAACCTGCCAGCTCTGGAGGAAAGCACAGAAGAAGACACGTCCTGCACCTCTGAGGAGGAGTTCATCAGATAAATGTCACCTGCAGGATCTTCCCTCCACCTGGCTCTTTGCTTTGGATTTCTTTAATTTCACCTGCTGGCCCATCGGACCTTAAACAACAGAAAAAAAACCAGGAAATCTGGAAAAAAAAATCCAAAGAAATTGAATTCTTCTTGTTCTTTCCCTGTAACCTTCCCTGAATCTGCCTGAGCAGATACACCTTGGAACTGCCAACACCAAGTGCATTTACTGAGCTCTATTTTTGCTTTTTATTCTTAACCCTCTACAGCTGATAATCCTTCTTTTCTTCTTTCCTAAAGCACTTTTCACAGAGCAAAACCTCTCAGCTGCTCTCAGTTCAAAAGAATTTTCAGGGATAATCAGCCAGGTCTGGCAGAGCTCAAAACTCAAACTTTTCTGCTCTGGCTCTGGGATCTCCTGCTCTTTGCAGCTTCTCTGCACCTGAGGATGCTCCTAAATATGCACTGGGAAGCCTCTTAGAGCCTTTCCATCTATATTTTTAAATACTTTCAGGGTTTTGTCTCTACAGAGATCAAGTTCATGTTTTTTCTCCTTGATAAAACCTAAATTCTGCAGTTTCCTAGTAGAACTTCAAGGCTACACTGGAGTTTTTCTTCAGGGCAGCAATAAAACCCACCCACTTTCATATATATATATATATATATATATATTTCCCCTCTTCAAAACAAAACAAAATAAAATGAAATTTGGTCTTTTTAGAGAAACAAAGAAAAAAAAAGTCAAATATTTGGTGTTCATGCCTAATTTTCCATCCTGAGGTGCACAGACAATCTGGTTCCTGTAGGTAATGAATTCAAAGGTCATTTTCTGAGTTGTTAACAAACCATGATATTTAATTTCTGAACCAAGTGCTGTCCCCTTCAGCTACTCACCTGAAGGCCACCAATAAAAAATTCCAGATAAAATCATGTCAGAGAACAGAGGACACTTTTAAATTTGGATTAATGCTGAATAAATCACTCTCTAGGCTCCTGTGATACTTGAAAGGGGTGCAATGAATTGTCTCAGTATTTTTACTGCTCATTATATATTTCTTAATTAATGGTACTACCTCTTCTGCACTGTTTAAATGTATATTTGTATGTGTGTGTCTTGTTTTGAATTCCTGTGTTGTGTCTGCCCAGGAAATAAAAGCTTTGGACTCTGGAGTCTTCAGGGCTGTCATAAATATGGATGTGTAATGATATCAGATAATCAAAACAATGAAATAGCAGCTTGGATTAAAAGAGTAGAATAATTAGGGTTTTAGTGTTATGAATTTGTTTTAGACAACCCAAAAATAGAATCACTTTAGGCTGACAGACCTGACAGTTTCTCAGTCTCAGTTAACCCTTTTGTAACTCAATATCCCAATTTCTGCCAGGTTTCTGTGATCACTGCAGCATCAAGCTGCCAGGGTGACACCTCAATTTTTTTTTTTTTTTTTTCCCAGCAGAATTAGGGAGCTAAAAATAAATCAGATTGGTTTTGCATAAGCACCACAATAGTTCAAACCCAATTGTGCCTGTTGCTCCTCCAGCACTTGTCATTTTTAACCTTCAGCATTCTGAGTCAGCAGCTCCTCTCCCACAGGGAAGCAGAGGGTGAATTCCTCCCCATCAAATCCATAATTCTGGGGTTTTTTTGCTCCCCATCTGTACACACAGAACTGGAAGTTCTACCATGAACTCGCTCAAACAGGCCTGTGTAATTAAAGCAGCTCACCTCATCAGTTGGAAATTAAGAATGAGGCAGCTTTTGAAGGAGTTCAGTCCTTTCTTGTTGACAATAAAGAAGTTGTAGGTATTGTGTACGAAGTATGCAAACATCCCCTATTGCCCCAGCTGCCATGAATGTCACCAAGGTAATCAATCATGTCAGGGCTGCTCCTTTCTGTCTGAAATTAAGAAAAGAACTGACTGAGCAGTTTGTGTCAAAGCCACAGCAGCTCATTCACGGAGCCCCAGAGTTTGGGGTTCTTTCCAAGGATCACCACGGTTATGGACAGGTTTAACCCCAAACTGGCACAAAACCAGATCAGAAACGCTCCCAGGTCCTTCACCCCACCCAAAGCTGTGTTTGCAATAAACAGCTCGGCTCTCTGCTTTGTTTTCTCTCGGGTTTTTGGCACATCAAAGGTGTTGGTGCTGTGGCACAGCCCTGCAATCTGCCGTGGATGGCTTGGAGGGGTGGCAGTGTCCAAACCACACCAGGACAGGTCATGGAGATACCCAGGACGGACACACCAGCAGGATTCAGTGGCAGATCTGTGACCCAGGAGGAGCTGGGCAGGTGCTGCTCCTTCTGCTGAGGATTCCCAGGGAAACGGGATGTGATCTTTGCTGTGCAGCCCCTGAATCACAAGGCTGAAAAACAAGAACTGCATCCTAAGGCCTTTCCTGCTGCTCCGGGAGGCACCCACGGCTCAGAGCAATTAAAGTGCCTCTAATCAGATGTGGGTTTGTTTAGGAGGGACTGAACACCAGGCAAAAGGTCCCAAATTTTAGACTCCAAGTCAGGGTTCTGCAAGGCTCTGGAGTGTCCTGGCAGCAGGAGCTCTGCTGGAGCCCATCCCTCTGTGCCCACGGGCTGCAGCTCCTGGGTCACTCCCGGCCCCAAACCAGCAGCTTTGAACATCTTGTGCAACACAGACTTGTAGGCTCAGGGTCACAGACTTGTCTGGATGGATGATTTGGAGCTGGGGTTCCAGAAGGCACTGATGATCACTAACTTCAGTTTGGTTTTTGAGTTGCGGGGAGCTGGGTGATCACTGGTATTGGTAGCCAAGCGTTTTCTTCCCTGCAGTGCACAAAATCAGCTGGAGGAGCAAGGGAAACTCAGAGCAAGACAGTGAAAAATTGACCCCCCTCCACATTGAAGACTTACTGGGAGAAAAAGCCCATTTAAATCTTCTTCCTTATTCCAGCACAGCCTAAAGCCTCATCACAGCCTCACATTTATACCACATTTATTCATCCCAGAGTGCTTCACAATGACAAACAGCTAGGAATTCTCCTGCCACTGACCTGCAGCCAAGTGCAGGCTGCAGAGCAGCTGCCAGGCAGGCAGAGAGTGGCCAGGAGTGCTGAGGCATCACCCTGGGATGAAGTTCAGAGTGTGATCTCCACCAGCACAAACTGATACACGGATCACCCTGGGATGAAGTTCAGAGTGTGATCTCCACCAGCACAAACTGATACAGGGATCACCCTGGGATGAAATTCAGAGTGTGATCTCCACCAGCACAAACTGATACAGGGATCACCCTGGGATGAAGCTCAGTGTGATTTCCACCAGCACAAACCAGTACAGGGATCACCCTGGGGTGAAGAAGCTCACAGTGGGATCTCCAGCACAAACCCATGTGTGATCACCCTGGGGTGAAGAAGCTCACAGTGGGATCTCCACCAGGACAAACTGATACAGGCATCACCCTGTGATCTCCATCACCACAAAGCCATCAGTGATCACCAGCCAGGCTCAGCTGGGGATTCACCCTCTTCTCCCACTGCCTGGAAAGCAGCTCGGCCCCTCCCAGCAGATGACAGCAGGGTCCCCACTCCTGGCACAGGACCTGCAGTCCCAGGCTTTGAATGTGAGACAGAGCCCTACCATGAGAGACAGAAACCACTGAGTTATCTTTTATTTGCTGCTGCCTCTCTGTGTGGAGAGAGAACTGAAATGGCATTTACTCCAAAGCCCCGCTGAGTTTGCAGTGAGAGGAGGCTGTTGCACCTTTGCTCACGTCTGCAGTGTGTGTGGCTGCTGGAAGCAGAGCCCAGGAGCAGCCTGGCTGCTGAATAAACAACCTTTATGTGCTGTTCTTGGGTTCAGGGAGGGTCCCCAGGCCAGCCCAGCACTGCCAAGCCGTGCTGTTGTGCAAGGAGCTGTGAGCATGGGGATTTGGAGCTGCTGTGAAACAGGGCAGCCAAGGGGGGCAAGGAGAGGCACCAGGGACTGTCAGAGATCAGAGGTGAAGCCTCAAGGGGAGACTCCTGAGCTCCAACACCCCAAAGACAGCGGGGCTGTGCCTGCTCCTGCAGCTGTGCATCCCTTCTCCCTGTTCCAGCAGGAATTTCTGAGAGAAGTCAGCTCTTCCAGCACACACACTCAGCCACAGAATCACACCAAGGCTTGGAAGGCACCTTAAAGTTCATCTCAAACCCAAACCATCCATACCTAAATCAAGGATCCTTCCGTTTGCCAGCACTTTTGGCTCTCCACTGCGTTATTAGCTCTTCCTCTTGCCATGGCACACACAACGGATGCAGCATCCTGGAAAATATCCCCTAAAATCCTACAACCAACCCAGGTTATTCCAAACCTGTGCAGATCCAGCATTTCTAGAGCTGGGCTGGGATTTCAGCTCATGCAGGACCCAGGAACAGCCAGAGAGTGAAGCTGCCCTGAGCATCTCCATGGAATTAACTCCAGGCTGTTGATGCACCGCCCAAAATTCCATTTTCTCAACAGAGGAAATATCAACCACGCTGCTGTCCCAAGCAGTGCCTTAGCCAGAGGGACATTCCAGCTGCTCTGCTGCCTGCAGTGTCCCTTGTCACCTCCCTGTGTGACACCAGCCCAGCCCAGAGAGCTGCACTCTTGATTTCTCATTAGGAAGCAGGGATCACATCTTGGACAGCAACAAGGGGTCACAGCCACATTTTCTGGGAAAATCCCTTTGCCAGGATTCTTCTCCTGGGAAGCTGAGAAGCCTCAGAGAAAAAGGAAAACAATATTACCTCATTTGCTCTTTCTGTGTTTTCCTGCTTTGGGATGTGGTTGGAGATTGTTTATCCAACAGGTGATTGTTTCATTGGTTGCATTGAAATTGGTGAATTGAAATGGTGAATTGTTTTTGGCTCATTGGCCAAGTGGGGCCAAGCTGTGTTGGACTCTGGAGAGAGAGTCACGAGTTGTGTTTAGTGTCTTTCTAGCCTTCTGCCTGTATCCTTTCTGGATTCTTTAGTCTAGTTTAGTATGGCGTTCTTTAATATAATATAGATCATAAAATAATAAATCAGCCTTCTGAGAACATGGAGTCAGATTCATCATTCCTCCCTTTGTCTGAGAGCCCTGCAAATACAAGACAAGGAGGAGGGTTAAAAAAAAAAACCCCAAAGAACCAAGAGGGAACAAACAGAAGCCAGCTCAAGTCTCTGGTGCCTCACTTGTGATGCCACCCGAGCTCTGCCAGCTCGATGG